CACTTTTTTTTCCCCCCCGAACCCTGAAAATTACGAAACTTTCGAGAAATCTTTTCGCGGAAATGAACGAACGAATCAATATACAACTTCGCAGACGTGTTTTCGCGTCGTTCGATCGGCCATTGAAATTCTTTTTTCGCGGACGAAGAAGGAATTTATCTTTTTACAGTATATTTTATACGTTTCTCGAGAATTCTCGATGAAAAAATGTTTCCAACAAAAGGTTGATTCGTTTTTAGCTATTTACACAAATTGAGATATAAAAAATATCAAAAATAATGTATGTTTCTAATTTTATAGAGTTCGACGATCTGCTGTGGACCTTTGGATGACCTTGACCAGAGAAATTTAGGTTGCAGCTACGATAATATTGATATGGACAAGTGGCGCCCCCAAAGTGGAGGAATCTTCAAGGGAGCATCAACGCGTTCACTGTTTGCGACCCGTATATGGGTCACAGCGCCATGCTTTTAGATACCCCGTTAAGAGACCGGACAGTGAACGTGTTTAAAACCTTTTGCGCAATAAATATGCACTTTTTCCGCCGTTAAACTAACCCAGACCTAACCCAAACTTCCACCACATCTAAACGAAATCAAGGACCATTTAAAACGAACTTTTAATTCGTTTACATCGCTGGTTTCCTTTCGAAAATAAAATTCCAACATTTGATCGTTGAAGTAAATATTTAAAAAATAATTTAACACAAAATATTCCTGTTAACCTGCCGAAATAAACTCGTTTCCATCGTTTCCATTTCTGGCGAATTTCTGTAAAATATCTTATTTTATCGATGCCCCGTTAATTTTTGTTCGGAGGTTTTTTTTGCGTATTTAGGGACACCCTGTATAGGTACAGTGTCCCAAACGGTACAAGACTCCTCTTTACAACCTGTTTACGGCTTCTCGCGTGTCGGCGCCGACGACCGGTTCCGACAATCTCTACTTTTATTTTCGACGGTTCATTCTTTTCTTTTTTTCTGTCCACGGTCGGTGTACTTCATAAGTTAGGCCTTGTCGCGGATCAATGCTTAACCTTGCACTCCCGCGAGGGACCCGGCGAATTTCATCCCTCGGGATAATCGCCGGGGCACATAAACGCGTCGAACGAGGCACTCGTTCGGGGGGCCGATTTCCACGAACGCGTGCGATTTTACTGTCGTCGCGAGATTATTATGTCGGGCGTAATTACGTTGTAAACATCGGCTCTGGCCCGGGTCCCCGGGAACGTTATGCCCGCCGCTTTATGGCTGTTTACCTTCCGGGGGCCCCGGCGTTCTCGAACACTCGGACTCCCGTTGATACGAAAACGCTCCGAGGGAACCGTTTTTATCGTGGGAACGAAACAATTACCACTGCCTCGTTTCTTCTCTCTTAATTTTTACGTCTGGTTTTAACGCCCAGAGTCCGAGGAGATCGAGAAATTAAGGCAAACTTGCCTAAACCGTACCCCGATAACTCTAACTCCAACATCACCCACAGTCGTCCCTGCAGGTCGGGGTTCTTTTCAATTTTCCCATCGATCCTGATCATCTATCAAAAATTTGTACGAGACAAAAAAGTTTCGAAATTTAATTCCCCACAAATTAGGTTATTAACGATTTTGTCGTGAATTTTAGCGTAAGCGAGATATCGCAAATATTTAAGTTGGTAGGAAATCTAAAAACAATGCTATTTGGAAGGAAATTAAAATAATCGAAGATATTGGTTTTTGGGGGGCAGAAGGTGGTTCAGAGGCGCGTTTGAAGTTCAGAGAAGCCCCCCCGATAGTAATGGAAGGGTTAATACTGTTCGTTTACCAGGGAAAGTAAGAGTCCCCCGTTCTTTGGCCAAGCAACGAATCGACCGTGGATTCCTCGTCATTTTCCACGAGGTACGCTCTCTTCAGCCCCCTTCTGCAGTTTTCATACAGCCGAACCCTCGTTCGTCGAGGGTTTTTGTGAACGCGCAAGTGGGTCAGCCCGTCGTGCCGCTTGACCTGTATAATCTTTCGGTTCTACCTGCCGTGTCACGTAGTACTACCTCATTAAACCGGGTGTCGAGTACGTTCGCAACACACATTTCGCCCGTAGTTGCGCCCAGAGACCCTCGATCTTGATGCATCCACACCTCGAAGCATTCCATTTTTACTTCCGTTATTTATTTAAAACCATTTTTCATTCTCCCTTATACATTTTATTTCCAACTCTTTTTATCGCCAAGACTCGCTGATACAAGCTTTTCTATCTAAATTCTATTTGCTCATTTCAAAATTGATTCTCGAGTTCAGATTATCGAAGAAAATAAATTTGAATAGAATTCGTGAATTTTAAGGTGACAAAAATAATTGAAAAATTTTGGTCCCGTGGAAAATCGTACGGATTAAGCGTGATTGTTGTTGGATTTCCTAACTGTTAATTTCTCACGTTATTACGAAAATCATCTCCAGTGACGATTGCATATGTCTGGAGTTTCGCTTTCAGTTTTGGTCATGGGTTCTATGAACTCATGGTGTTTACTATACAAAGATAAGAGTTCGTCGCTAGGGTGAAGTCACAGTGTGGTAACAGATCTCACTATTATTTAATAAAAATAAATTCTACCATTAACACTTTACCGACCGGTAGCGGTTGATTAATCGGCTATCGGTCGGTAAGCGTTGGTCGGTAAAAAAGTTGATTAATACGCTATCGGTCGGTAAGTGTTGGCCGGTAAAAAAGTCGATTAATAGGCTATCGGTCGGTAATGTGTTAATATACCTTTTCCAATAATTGTCAACGCGTTAAAGAGTTTTCTAAAATGAAAATCGAGGAAGATTCGTCGACGGTAACGCGTGAACGGTGAAATGATCGAACAATACTACAGTCTCGATTATAATTCCGTAACTGGAACCGGTAATCTTCGCGGACTTAATTACCGCTTTAATAGGGCCCGCAGCGAGTTAATAACGCGGCGACGAAAGATACGGGCGATACGTCGTGTGCACGTGGAAGTTTGCAGCGGTGCATTCTAGCCGTGGAGCTTCACGTGGTGCACGCGAATGGCGGTTCAAGGTATCGGTTCGTGGCATCTGCCAGCCGCGAGACGCTTCGAATGGTATTGAATTGCACCGCTGACGAGGGGACAACCAATTCGGGTCACCGGTTTCGCTCATATTTTACACATAACCGAGCCTCTTCGTCGATCGACGTCCCTTTCAACGATCTTCTGCAAAATAAACTCTCGTACCGGATAACTGCAACCAACACAGGCCGGCAGTAATCCGGGGAAGGTCAAGGAAACGCTCCACTTTGATTTCAACGTGCTTTTTAAGATATAAATAATCAAAATTTCATACGTAGATTGCAGTTTTTCTAAATTGTGTTCTAATGTATAATTTAAACGATTACTAAACGTGTTTATAATTGAGATATTTAGATTGCATTTTTTCTAAATTGTGTTCTAACGTATCATTTAAACGATTACTAAATGTCACTTTACGGTGTCTTCTGGAAAATAAACTTTCGTATCGGATAACTGCAACTGACGCGGCCGACAGTAATCCGGGGAAGGTCACGAAAACGTTCCACTTTGATTTTAACGTGATTCGACGGAACGATAGCAAATACTCGACAGTTTTTAAGACATAAATAATCAAAATTTTATATAATTTTGTACATTGCATTTTTTCTAAATTGTGTTCTAACGTATCATTTAAACGATTACTAAATGTGTTTATAATTGAGATATTTACCCTGATACTCAATAAAAAATAATTTTACAGTATCTTCTGGAAAATAAACTTTCGTACCGGATAACTGCAACTAATCGTAACAGTAACGAAGGAAAGGCCATGAAATCGTTCGACTTTGATTTTTAATAACAGAATTAATGAAATCCTCCTTCATCAAATATAATAATTAGTATCTTCTTATATAGTATATTCTTATTAGAATCTATTTCTCATATTTTTGCACATCAAGTGCATTCTGTAGCTTTTTTAGCAGTTCTGAGCGTTTAATTTTACGTTTAAATTGTGTATAACTTTAATCCAGATGGGAATTTCCGGGTTGCTGACGAGTATCGGAAACGTGGGATAAAAATGTGATGAAATTACGAAGAGAGAGAGAGAAGAGATAGTTGTTTCCCACAATCGTGTTTCCTTATCGAATCTCGTATCCCCTCCCCGTCTCCCTCCCACCCTTTTCTTCTCTCGTTCGAGCACGCACACCCTGCCCGTTCTTCCACCCTCCGATCTCATCCCTGGCCCGCCCCGACCCGGAATAAATCAATACACGTGTCTGCTACTTGGTTGTACACTCGGCCCGAACCTTAAGCCCAAATCCGAGGAGCTGAAAACGAGCAGCGACAGAGGCTTTTCCCCGACCGTGGAAAAACATTCTCCACGGATACGCGATCCTAATCGCGTACAAGAGAACTTTGGCGAGCAATTTTCACCATCGTACATCTCCTGGCAATTTTACGAAAAATTTACGAATCCCCCAGCTCCCCGAAAATTGGCAATTTTTCACCAGAAACAAATATCATTTTTTTTTATTATTGACCTCAAATAAATATTATCATCGCTTCTGTTCGATAGCAGTTTTAAAAAAAAGATAGTCGATCGAAATTGAATTCCAATTAGAAGCTATTGTTATTGCATATAGTTTCACGATTCTTCGAGAATAGATAGAAAATAAAAAAGTATCTAATTCGTGATAATTAGACTGCGGATGTTTATGCATTTATGGGGAATTTTAATTCTCAAGAAACTACAGAAATACTTAAAGTAAGATACGAATTATTCTATTTAAGGGTTGGAGACAATCATCTACAAAGCTCCCATTTTATTAATATATAAATTTGCATAAAGATCCGCGGTCTAGTGATAATAGTTGCAATAGTTTCATAGATGAGATGTGTTTTTCGATCATAGGTCACTGTATTTGAATTTTCTGTAATTTTCCAGATTTTCCGTGTTCCAGAGTGAATTTTTGTTTTCTAAGTTCGGTGTTAGTGTTTGTGTAATGGATTTCGACTTACCTAACTGACGACAAATGTCGGCCTTCAAATGAGAGGGCAGAGCTTTCTCCTTAAGCAAAGCCTCGTAGTTCTCCTTGGCCAGGCGATATTTCCCTTGAACTTCGTACAAATGGGCGATGTGAAACTTTACTGAAACACGCAAAAGAAATTCGAACGTTAATCGCACGCCACGCGACAATTATATCACAACAAACGTTCGAAACAACAAAAATACAAGCAAAATTAATGCTCGAAAACAATTTCTCATAAGTAGACTGCAGGATCTTTATGCAAACTCACAATTTTTATTAATAAAATTAACAAAATCGGAGCTTTCTAGAGGGTCGTCTCAACCCCTAAATATAATAATTCGTATCTCACTTTATTTCTTATATTTTTGCATATTAAATGCATTCTGTAGTTTTTTGAGGATTAAAATTTCCCATAAATGCATAAACATCCGCAGTCTACTCGTAACGTCACGTTTAAAAGTAACCTTGAATATTTTTTAACGAATCTATTATTAACTGACTGGAGCATAAATCCGTGACCTACACTATCATGACCTTGATCTTAATATTCAAATCGTTACTGCATAGCCTTAGGAATTCTCGTGTAACGATTGATAATCTATTTCAGTTCATTCATTATTCGTTAACCTTCCAACAATATCATGCAAATCACGTCTACGAATAATCTACGACCTCGAATCCACACACGTGAAGTTCGTAAAACTATTTCTGTATAAATATTGAGGTTCAAGGTCACGCCAAGGTCGTTACGTCACAACACTTTGCATTCAACTTTACATCGATTGTGATCTAAAATACAATTCGAAAAAAATGTTACACGATTCTGCGAGTCTCACGATTTTTGAGATTTTGGAGCACTGTAATTTCGTTTAGGTTAATATTCACAGTCGCTGAAACTCGGTTCTTCCTGATCGCATCATTGACCACCGCGAAACTGACCTGGAAATCGTTGGCCAGCGCTATTTTACAAGTGCAACTTCCGGCTGAGCAAAGACACAGGTCGATTTCTCGGTAAAGAGAAGCGATTCGACGATCAGATGGGGGAGATCATTGCAAATGATGAATCAGACGCCCAAATGATTCGTTTACCCAAATTATTCGCTGGTCTTTTACTTTTTTCTCCAATCGAGCATCAATTCTTGCATTCTTCTTTATTAATTAACGCTCAGTATTTAAATAAGTTGTTCAAGGTCACGTGTAGTGATTATGAATGGCGTAACAAATTATCCCCTCTCTCGTGGCCGTGAGCACCGCGTGCTCGAGAGACAGAGAAATTTTCTCCAATCGAGTATCAATTCTTGCATTCTTTTCTGTTACAGCATATTGTTTTGTTTTTCTGTTGTTGTGCAATCCAAATATGTCTCTCTGAGAGTACGCATCGTCTTCGTATGCACACGTGTTTAATTTACTTCTAAATATACGTTTATATTGAACAGTTATATCGAATGTGTCAGCTCGTTACAAAACCCCAACATTTTTTATTAATTAACGCTTAGTATTTAACCAAATATGTTGTTCAAGGTCACTTGCAGCGATTACGAATGGCGGTAACAAATTATCCCCTCTCTCGTGGCCGTGAGCACCGCGTGCTCGAGAGACAGAGACAGAGAAAGAGTGTTTCAGCGGTGAGTCGAAAGATGGAGCAGCGGAGTGGTGAAGTGGTGGGGGTTAGCCACTTAATGGCCTTGAGTGGCCAATTGAGTTTGCGTTCCATCTAGTATACATTTATACGTACACTAACTTTACGAGCAGAAGGGTACGCGCGTTCAAGTAACGACAATTTTGCTAATGCGTTCATTTAGCAAAGGTGCGTATCAATTTCCTTGAAAACAATATCCCTTAAGCTGTATTGTTAAGTAAAAGGACGAGTTTATTTCTCGGGCACTGGATACATGTACTTTCATTGCCCGCTGAGAATGTTCGAGTTACAAATGTTTATTATATGTTACATTACATATTTTCATGTCCAACGGAACGTTTGTGTACAGCCATAGTTTTGCTCTTATATAAATTCAGATTTTGTTCGTTTTGTGTCCAAGTTTGTTATTTTATATCCTGACCTCATCGACATCTATAAACCTTTTAATAACACTATTAAATTCAGTTGCTATTTAACTAGAAAATTAAATAATTCAGGAGCACGTGAATGACCAAGAAACAACACGAGGAATATTTACAAATACACGATAAATTTTGATTCGTTATTTCGACAAAATTTCGAATGTTATAAATTCTATGTTGGTTCGATTGTTTGAGTCGTTTAAACGATTTGTCGATCGATTCTGGGGCACGCAGAGTTTATTGTAATATCCGTGGCCAGTATCCGCGAGTATTTTTATCCCACCCGTACTAAATTTAGCCATTAAATAGTACAACAGACGGAGTCGTCTTCCGCGTGAGTACCCACGTGACTCATTCATGTTTCTTAGTAATCCGAAGTGACGCGGATAAAGCTATACAGCGGCATGAAATCCCGCCCGGAAACGGCAACGGAGAGAATCCCGCTTTATTAATTAAGCTTCCAAGTCCTCTGCTTCCCGTTACAGTCGATAAATTGTTCCTTGGAACAGTGACTCTTGCGATACTTTTATTGTCAAGTAGTGATTTCACGATTCGATATTATAAGCAGCAATTTGAGACGATGAATTTATATATACAGGGTGTTCGAACCTGGGAAAAATTTTAATGGGAGATTCTAGAGGCTAAAATGAGACGAAAATCAAGAATACCAATTTGTCGATGGAGGCTTCGTTAAAAAGTTATTAACAATTAAATTCAAAAATTTCAAATCGTTTTGGAAAAATTATTTTTAGTTGCGGGGGTCAATTACAATCATTTTTGGTAAATAGACATACCTCCGAAATCCTAACCATTTTCGAAAAAAAAATTCGAGAAGGTGTGAAATTTTTCGACGGACAAAAAAAATTTCAAATCGTTTTGGAAAAATTATTTTCGGTTCCGAGGGTTAATTACAATCATTTTTGGTGAATAGACATACCCCCGAAATCCTACCCATTTTCTAGAAAAAAATTCGAGAAGGTGTGAAATTTTTCGACGGACAAAAAAAATTTCAAATCGTTTTGGAAAAATTATTTTCGGTTCCGGGGGTTAATTACAATCATTTTTGGTGAATAGACATACCCCCGAATTCCTACGCACTTTCGAGAAAAAAATTCGAGAAGATGCCTTAATTTTTCGTTGAAATTAAAAAAGTTCGAATCATTCTGCAAAAATTATTTTTAGTTGCGGGGATCAATTACAATCATTTTTGGTGAATAGACATACCCCCGAATTCCTACACGTTTTCGAGAAAAAAATTAATTACTGAAAATATAATGTATTACCAGAAATGTACCCTGGAAATTTCGTGCGTATCTTTAAAACGTCATAACTTTTGAACGGATTGGAGGATTTTAATGTTTCAAACGGCAAACAACGCGTATTTTAGTGTAGAATATGTAGAAATTGTAAGAATATTGGAAAAGTTGTTAAATATATAGGATAATTATAGATAAAGAACCATCTGTTTAAGAAGATCTACTAGTACTGTTTTGCTGGAAGACACCAAATAATCTTCTTCCAAATAATTCATGGCCCCGAGACACCAATAATTACACAATTTAAATAATTATTCTATTGATCTCAGAGCAAATAAAATGTTCTTTATTAATACTGAAATTTTAATAGGAGCCCCGGAGGCAACGTGGATAAATGAATGGCAGGGTTGAGACCAGTTGATTATAGAGTATCGCCTAGGCCTTTAAACCTAGCTAACGAGTCTCGTCTGATACTGTTTAAAATGGATATTACTATATACAGAAATATTACCGAATATTTTTATATAACATATTAAGTTTGATTGTCAGGGGTTAAAAATTAAAGAGGCAAGATTACATCACGTCGTAATAGAATATTGAACATTTGTTTATTATTATCTGGAGCAGAGGTTTCGAAAGTTTTCTAGACCGAGACCCAGATTCGAAAACGGTAACTTCTCGCGATCTACTTTTACCATCGATGCATATTTGAAAAGGGAAGGTTGTCGAATAAAAAAATAACGATCCTCTGCTTTCAAATTAATATCAATATTTAACACGACCCCCACGCTTTGGGAATCGATGTTCCACAGTTCAAAGGTTAAATAAATATCCATTTCTCGACCCCCCTCGATTTTTATTCTAAGAAAAAAAAAAAAGAAACAAATAAATTTCCCATTGAAAAATTGCAGCGCGATATTACACGGAATTAAACGCAAAGAGATATAATTTTCTTTTATTCGCTGGGAAATGGGGAATGCCTGTTGCAGCGGGGCGGCTTAACCCATACAAATTGATAGTTAACTGTCGCCGTACACGCGGTAACGTCCAATTAATAGGTAATTACTGACATTCGCGTCGCGGCTAATTTCATCGAAAGGTGAAAACGTTCCGTCGCGTAGAAATATTATCCGCCGGGTGAAAAATCCTCAGGTAAAAACGCGGAGAATAATTCGCCAGTAGCGGCGGTCGGCTTTCGCGTGAGCACTTTTTAATTTATTATTCAACGGGCCACGGACGAAATCGATACTTCCGCCGCGTGGAAAGTGCCTATTACATACCTGCGCGCATTCGTCTTGACAACATCTCGACCTCGGTTCTTTTGCTCACTTTCTTCCTCGAACTTGACCCCGTTTTCCCGCCGTGATACAGCAACTATTACATCACGTGTAACAACGATAGCTCCTATCACGACGTTACACAATATTTAAGGGAACGGTCGAGCGTCTGGAATTAAACGTCTCCTTCAACCCACGTCGCGTTAACCCCCACTGGCCATTCTGACCTTTAACTCTACCTTTTACTATATATTTTTAGCAATCATAATTCACCATTTGTAATTTCAGTGTACAGGATTTTAAATATTTTTTTATTTATTATTATTTCCTCGAGAAAATAGAAATTAATATTACTGCTATGTATACTTAAAAAATTGAGAAGATTAGTATCTCTTAAAAATATTTTTTATGTTCTCTTTGAGAGTACAGAATATTGACAGTTTTTAAGAATATTTGTATCAGAGTTTTTTTCGTTCATATTAATATGTTCTTATACGGGGTGTTCGGTTAACCATGGGAAAAATTTTAATGGGGAATTCTAGAGGCCAAAATAAGACGAAAATCATGAATACCAATTTGTTGATGGAGGCTTCGTTAAAAAGTTATCAACGTTTATAGTTCCGCCCCATACTGAATTTTTTTTTCTCGAAAATGCGCAAGATTTCAGGGGTATGTCTGTTCACCGAAAATGATTGTAATCGACCCCCGCAACCGAAAATAATTTTTCCAAAACGATTTGAAATTTTTTATTGGCCGTCGAAAAATTTCACACCTTCTCGAATTTTTTTCTAGAAAATGGGTAGGAATTCGAGGGTATGTCTATTCACCAAAAATGATTGTAGATAACTCCCCTAGCTAAAAATAATTTTTTTAGAATGATTTGAAATTTTTTATTTTCGCCGAAAAATTAAGACACACCCCCCTGTTGATTTTTCTTAATAATTCGTTTTTAATTTTTAATAAATTTGTTTGACGTCCTACGAAAAAGTTGTTTAGTACTTTTTTGTAGGTACCCATGAGCTCTGCTTCAGAAAAAAGTTTCATTGAAATATGTTCACTAATATAGGAGTTATCGTTGTTTGAAAATTGAACCATTTTTATGGGGTTTTCCTCATTTTGCGGGGTCAAGAAACAACTTTCCTAATATTCTTAGAATTTGTAAATATTCTACACTAAAATGCGCGTTGTTTGACGCTTGAAACATTAAAATCGCCCAATCCGTTCAGAAGTTATGATGTTTTAAAGATACGCACGAAATTTCCAGGGTACATTTCCGGTGGTACATTATATTTTCAGTAATTAATTTTTTTCTCGACCACGCGCGGGATATCGAAAATATGTCTATTCACCAAAAATGATTGTAATGGACTCCCGTAACTAAAAATAATTTTTTCAAACCGATTTGAAAACTTTTTTTTTTCGGTGAAAAATTTAGGCACCGGAAGTTATGATTTTTTTTAAACACACGCATGAAATAACTTTTGTGATTCACAATGAACCGTCGAAAGTGTTCGTGTGCGTGTTGTTGACCCCGTTCGTGTTGTACAGAATGATCGACGCAGGAAGAAATTGCACGTCGACGCAACATATGGCACCGGCGTAAGATTTCGGAATAAAAACGGTTTCGCGGTCGGCAGCTGTTCCGGTTGCATTATTTTTATAGAAATCGACAGCGTAGGCGATGTGGGACGAAAACCGGGACTCACTTTCGAGCTTGGAAAAGGAAGCAGGTGTCGTGGCATCGATCAAAGCGAGTGTCAGGTGCTTCAGGGCGGCGTCGAAGTCAGCGTGGACCTTCAGCATCAAGCCAAGCCGTAGGTGAACCTCGCAGGCCCGTGGAAATCCTGGTTCCACCCATAGCACCTGCTGGAATGCTTTCACGGCCCTGAAACAAACAAAGTTACGCCTCTCTTAGACATTTTCCATCGTTAGTTCTCACAAATGATGGCCAATTAAATTATTCCAACGCTTTATCGCAATGAACGTGTACGTCAACACGTTCACTGTCCGATTTCTCAACCGCGTATCCCATTGCACGGCGACACGACCCATATACGGGTCACGGACAGTGAACGCGTTAGACTAAATTGTTCAAAAAACAATATGGTATCTATAACTAGGGTAAAGTTTTAGTATTTATTACAAACACCATGAATGGGTAACAAAAGCATTCTCGAACGCTCCAAAATTGAACTATGAACAATAGAACCAAATTTAAAGAATAGAAGATTCCAAGTCGATTCTAAATTGTGTTTTGAGAAAGAGTAACATTAAACTGTACAGTGTAATGCAACAGAAATGCAAAAGTGTGCAACTAATTAGCTAATGAATCTAATTAGCTCGAGATTGTTGAAAATTAAGGTGTGGATTTCTGGAGCATCGTTGGAACGGAAGAACAATTTGATTTTCGAGGAACATCGATCCTCCGGACCACCGTGAGTCGCAGGGAGCTAAAATTAAATGCAATTGCTTGATTAGCAAAGGAAACGGGACGTTTCGTTTACGACAGCGCGGTCGCGATTGTAAAATATCGGCGATACAATTCGCGCTAAATATTTATCGACTATCCGCCGGGGCACGTTTCTTCGGGGTCGACGAACGACCATCCTGAACACCGACGATTAGCGATGGGATCAAGTTCGATATGCTTGCTCGCGAATTCGAGTAAATTCCAAGGCTTCGAATAATTTCGTCTGATAAATCACTGCACAAAAATATGGACAATCTTAAAATACAGATACGCCGCGAAATGATTTGGCAAAATTGAACTGTATTCGACGAGATAGTGGTTTGATAATTTTTCGCAATTTTTTTAACGTTTAATTCTCGAAGTTGAATATTCTTTGTTTTTGTGTTAGGAGGATGCTTCGTTTGCTCTATCGACAATTTGTTTTCCAGCAAAAGGCAGCTGCTCGGAGGTATTTGCTCAGCCCTTAAAGCGTTAAAAGGCTGCCTGCCTTGCCTTCGATGTAATCGAATACCCGACTCATCGGATACACCGTATTAACGAGTTTCTACACGTAGCGATGGGACCAACCGCGTCGCAAGTAGCATCGAAACATCGTCCGGACTTTCGATTCTCTGTTTCGTCGAATAACGACGGTATAACAGAGATAGAAACAGTTTATATTTCATTCGTGTACTTTCAAAGTCTGCTGACCCCTTTAAACACACTGAATACAGGTTCTTGATCGCTCAAAATTATAAAAATTCACACGAAACTCCAGTCTATAATTAATTTCAGGAGCAAACATTCCAGATAGAAACTTATCTAATTCATATTTTTATTGATATGAATTAACGAAATGGGAGCTTCGTAGAGACTTTATTTCTTATATTTTTGCATATTAAATGCGTTCTGTAATTTTTTTATAATTAAAATTCCCCATAAATGCACAAATATCCTCTACTTTAATGATTGATCATAAAAGATTCATCGACCAATCACTAACCCTTTGCACTAACCCTCAATTAATGCTGCCTTCAGAATTTCCACAAAATTTCCAATTTAAAAAAGTAATCAATTGTTTCGTAATACTTGATCAACACGCTCGCTGTCCATGATCCGCATGCGGGTCACAGCGCCACGCTTTTGGATACGCCGCTGAGAGACCGGACAGTGAACGTGTTTCTAAAATATTTAAAAAATTAAATCGACGTCTACGATAGTTTCTGTGTCATTGAATCATCGTACTGCATTCAGAGAATAATAACCCGAGAAATGATTAACCCTTTGCAAAACTATTTCATAATAATTTCATTGTATACCATTTTAAAATATCGCTATAGTCAATTTATAGTATTTAATTAAAAATCATATTCAATTATTGATCATTTTCACTGGATATATGAAAATTAAAATTAAAATTTACGAAGCCTATTAAAATTCATTTTCTTTGACATTTTAACTCGAGAATTATTTTCGTTTCACTGTTAAAAGTTCTGTCAAAGTGTTAAAGGCGTCGGGAGGTGCTGGTAACAAAATTCAAATACAATTCGAAGTGCAAGGGGTTAAGAACCTCGTTACAATTTTATATAAAATAAATTCCAAAACAGAATATTTCTAAACAGTGACAATAACACAGTAAACGATATAAAAATCGATTTCACGGGTATTTGGTTTTGATAAATCAGAACCCGTGATGCAGGAAGGACGTTTTTGGAATTAAAGGTCCCATGGAGTCGGTAAAAGTTCGAACGAGCGAGTTCAGGCTGGGGGGACCACCGATCGATGAAAATAACAATCGTTAAAAATTCTCGGTTAGGAAACTGGTTTACGCGTTCTCGTTACACCGAAAACACGTTGTGGTAATCGCGTGTGCAAGTGCGTGCGTGCGTGCACGCTATGGAAGAGGATGGACAGGAAGTGGTCGGTGTTCTGACTTGTCACGCGAACACGGCCACGCGGGTAACTAACAAAAACCCCAACACAGGCACCGGCGAACGCTAACAATAACAATCGTGCGCTGGCAAATGACACGCTGTTGGGATCGGTGCATATGTTTGCTCGGTCGAAACACCGGGGACACGATTGCATCGATAAAAACAAAAAAAACGACCCAATCGTCGCGCAGGGAACTCGAAAAAATGAATAATAATGTTTCCTGTTTTCTAGTTATTAGTTACGAATTACGGAATCATATCGTATTTATTTCAGAACAGTTATTTTTTTTAAGTGGATTAAAAGGGGGGTCTTCTACTGAAAACAGTCAAAAAATTCGACTTTTTTTTTTTAAAGAATATAAGCTTAGAAATGTATATTTATGTACAAAAGCATATCACAGAATTCCTAAAATGAACAAACTTACATGTATTGTTAGGTCGAGGCTATGTATCACTGCTAATTTTGACTATGACTTGTAAAAATGTGAAAATATAATCGAAAGAGAGAGAAATATATATGGAAAAACGCCGCTGCAAGAAGTTGTATAGTTTCAGTATAAAAAAATACTAAAAAGAGATAGAAAAAGGGGGTTTTAGAGTGGAAGACTCCCTTGAGAACAATTGTAGAGGGTTAAATCGATGAAACGTCTGACGAGCAACACGTATGGATTCCAGGCACGGTCGAGTGTCATTTTGTTTCAGCTTTTGGGAGCTCCTGGACAGAAGCCAGCTGCGAATCAACGTACACGGATCGAGCAATTCGAGGCTTTGAAGTTTACTCGTCGATCTGGTACGAGACGCAGAGTCGTTGCATGCATATTGTACGCGTTGAACACTTTCGAACCGGTTGCATCGCGTTTTCCCCGAACTGCCGCGGAAAACCAATAGCGTAACAGGTTGCACTGATGCCTTACGATCTAGTTTTCGAGAACACAAGGTTTTTCGGAAGATCGTTGCAAAATCAATCGCGATTAATCCCTTTTTACCCTTTTGATGCATCTAAATTTACACGACGTTTATCTTACGTCGAATTAAAGTAAAAAATTGATGTGTATTTTCCATGTGTTGCGTTTAAAAATCAGATATCGATCCCTTCGCTATGGGTTGTACAGTATTGTCTCGTTATAAGCACTTTCTCTATCCCCTCCACTGCTTTTGTAGTTGACGTGACGAATTGAACAGAACTAATGTGTAATAAAGACCTTGACTAGAGAATAAATATAATTAAAAACATCTGGCTAGATTCGTATTTTTATTTTTTGGACCATCGAACGTTGGTTATAAACTCGAATACTCGACGAGACCAGCTAGAAATAGATCTATAGTTTGTATCAGAAGAAATTGTAAATTTCGTTGGGTGGCAACATTTTTGCTTCGTACAGTAGCCTCCTCGGAGCAGTTCGCCACGTTTCTTGGCTGGAAATTCACGGTGTTTCTCCACTTTGCGTACCTTCCCCTCCTGTCTGGACTGTTTACGATAACGACGACGCGTTATCGGGGACGTTTCGCGATCGAACCTCGTTAAACTCGCGAATAAACTTTTCCCCTTTCCCGAGGAGTTATGTGGGGGAGGGTGGGTTCTCGCGAAACGTCGCGGGAAATAATATTTCGACGCTGCAAGGCAGAAATACGCCATTGTTCCATTACCGGGTAGGCCAAGGGGGTAAAAGGAGGGGAAGGGGGGCCGGAAGTAACGAGAACGTTAATTTCGTACCGAGGCCGACGACGACAAATTAATTGAAGCGCTCCGGTGCGACGACCTGGGAGCACAATGAGAATCGGAACGAACGAAGACGGAGAAAAATAAAGAAAAATCCAGAAAAAAATAGCAGGGGCAAGAAAGATGACCGTTGCCTTGGAGTAAGAGGCGGTAGTAAATTCATTCACAGGGAGGCCATTCATCGTTTCATTCATCCGCGTTTCCTTTCGGGGTTCGTTGTCTTCGGGAATGAGTCACTGTTACACGCTTCGCCGTGTGGGAGAAGGAGAAATGTCAGTGACTCTCGTCGAGAGACTCTTGCGAAATTATTCGCGAGTCGGATCGTACACGAGTTCGTTCGCGATTCCGGACGATGCAGCACGAGATGCGGGAAGAAACGTTTCTTCGTTGGGTTTCCGGGCGAGCGTGCCTTCCCCAAACCTTGAATTCGGTCAAGCATCTCCTTCCTCTGCACGACGGAACTCTGTGATTCCATAGTTTGCGAGGATAAAATATTTGTTAACCATTTGCACTCCTTTGTCGAGTCCCATTTGACCTTTTTTCGAGTCCAATACAAAAACATACACTTGAAAATTACAAAATACAGCAATACTGTAAATAAAACAGATATTCGATTGAATTTATTTGTTCCTCTGTTTGTTTAAATTCCTCTATTTTTTAGTTAACGTAAATTTTAAATAAAACAAAATTCAAATATAATTCGGAGTGCAAAGGGTTAATAGTCTCGTTTCGATCCGACCGACGCGTGGAATCCAGGAGGCACGTTTCAGTTTCCCGCCAAA